GTTTAATATTCTCTTTGAAATACCAAGCAGCAACACCAGACGTCAACATTAAAGTACATGAGAACAAATGTAAAAGTGGAACTACTTCTTTCTATTCGCCCTTTGATTTTTGCCACATCATTCGTATTTGTATATTAACGTCATTCCTACGCGTTGTACACTTGTTCCTTTAAGCCAATCAGAAAGCTCGGACCAAAAGTCGGAAATTCAACTTTATTTTTGAACTCAACAAGCATCTGTTCAACATTTATTGTATGTACATTCGAGTTCACTGTTGCCTTTTTCTTATTACATGATCATATATATCCTCGATTTATTTGCCTTTTACCACACGTTTCACTTATGCGGTCAAAATGTAAGAGACATACCTTTTCAATGTGGATACATTTGTGTATGCAGCATGTGTGTGTGTTAGCGTCCTGCTACGCATTTATATCAGCATTTATTGTTTCTCATGACACAAGTAGATGAATTGACAGGTTCTTCATACTGACATAGTTGTCCTGCACCAACTATTACGCTACAGCATTCAAAGTTTGCAAGCACCACTAAATATAATGATGATATTTCTATGATATTCTGGCACTGTTTTTTTTTTCAAATGTATTAATAAGCATCAGTTAATATTCTCAAGACAATCTGAGAAATTAAAATTACATGGGACAAATTGATCTTCATCAGAGTCTTTTTGCAGGATGTGTGTGTTATGGTCAGCATCATGCAATATCTGTTGGGTGGAGTGTGCACCCCAGTGATCGTTTCCCTTTTTTACATCCACAATTTCTGTTGGCAGAGGATGTAAACTTATTGCTCAACATAAAACTGAATGCTAGGAACGCGATCTCTCGAATGAACTGACCTTTTAGCAGAGATCTCATTCTGCTAAGCCAGCAATTATGGCTTCTGAAGAAAAGTGCGGTCAGAAGAAAAGTAGTACACGGCATATATCGATCACACATCATATTGCCTGACGAATGCAGTGAGATCGTCAAATTTCTCATTGGAGAACACAATAGTATAGAGATACTGTAGAAAATAAACCCCAATTTAATAAAGACTGATGGTCATCTGAGACGATTATTGTTGTTCATTTCTATAATAGATGGGGAGATATGAGAGAGTACAACTTCAAACCAGAATACTACAAGTTTTCATTGTTTTAATATCTAATCAATAATAACTAAAATGAAGACAGTATTGCAAAAAAACAAAAACAAATGGATGCCATGCCAACCAAATGAAAGGCTCAGATCATTTACAGTAACATTTACATTTACATATAGATACATTAGATCTTGTACAGTAACATAAGAAAGAAAGAAAGAAAGAAAGAAAGAAAGAAAGAAAGAAAGAAAGAAAGAAAGAAAAAGAAATATTTCATAATAACATGTTAAGGGGAAGTGCTGGGGGTAGGGTGTATAATTTACTCAAATGGTCGAAAAATGAGTTATGCATCATAAACATGCTTTGACCAAGTTTTATTAATGTTAAATAATTGTAGAATGTTAAATATTTAATTCAAAAGATATTTTTACACAAGTGGTTAAGAGTAACCAATGATGAATCCACAACTAAATCAGTAGTTTTGCACTCCAGAGCATCATGAATTTGAATGAATTTTGAATTTGAATGAATTTCTGTTTGGGATGACAGAAGATAGGATTTAGAGTTTTATTTCCCTGCTGGGACCCAGTTTAATAAAATAACAAAACTATTTGTTGTGTGGACATGACCAAACCAACTGTGCAATTTGTTTACTCTTCTATATTTTCAGAGGCAGAGGGTGTAGTGGTCCTGAATGGACTATTCACGCTGCTGTTGCCATGGATTCACAGGCCGAGGAAACACAAGACACAGACACTCACAGAGAAGCCATGTGTGTCATGATAAAAGAGTGGCCTTCGGCCTCTCTGCAAGGATGCCACACAGGCCCGCTGAAGCTGAATTTAGCTTCAGGCTTCATGCAAAACGGAGGACAGCGGTGGTAGCTCTGCAGCCTTTGCCCTTGTCTTTCCTTATCGACCCTCCAACATGATGTCCCTATCTCTCTTTACTGTAGGTCATCCCCTGCAGCTCAGTGAAGAGTCAAGTGAGGCCAACAGAAGAGCAGCCGTGCTTGGACTAGAGATATGTGTAGCAAATGGGATGAAGCTTACAAAAAGGTAACTGTCTACTTTACAGATTTTTGACCGCGAGTACACTCTAGTGCTTTGGCAAGGATTTAGGCACAGATGGGAGCTCTGTGTCTTCCTGTGGCTGGGAGGATCCCATCAGGGATGACTGAGAGGGGCTGACTCTTGGATCCGGAACCAGGATTGAAAAGTCCAATAGAGGCCCCATTGCCTCTTCTGCTCTCTCCCTCTCTCCTCTTTCCCTCTCTATCACTCCCTCTGCTCCACTTTAAGAAAGCAGAAGTTAGGAGAGTGTCATCACACAAACTTACTGGATACACATACCCTTTCCGTTAGTTCTCTGTCATTTAGCAGATTCAAGTTCATTCAGCTCACTCATTCACTGTCACATGAGCGTGAGGACAGTAAAACTCTATTATGTATGTGTGCAAAGTTAAACTGTTACTGACGTTAAATGAGATGCATGATGTAAAGTCATGCTGTAACAAATCATCCTGAGTCACCATATTTTCATTTCATTTTCAAAGATACTCTTCAGCGGCATGCAGCATACTGTAGCCTAACCTTTGAACACCAGCTGAGGTGAAGTTACTAATTGACTGTGTGTGGGCCTTTGCTCCCTTAAAGCAGGAGGAAGATTAGTTAGTCACTGGTCACACATACCAGTCTAAGGACTCAAATAACTTCAACCCAACAAAGTCAAACAATCTTAAATCTAAGATGCGGATGGTGAATTGCTCCAATTTTGGGCTATTGGTGTTGGTACTTTTTTGGTTAAATGTATGAATCTGCTACCTTGATCCCAGGATTCAAAAGATTAGGGAGGTCAAACCTGTTTCAAACCTCTTCAAACCTGTAAATAAATACATCGAGAGCTTGTCATAAATACTAGAATATGATCAAATTGTAACGGTTTTAATCGGAATGAATGTTATTTCAATAAAAATGGTAAAACTGTTTTCAGTGCAGTGCAGACATTATTCATATGGATTTTGTTGCCATCTAGTGGACAGAGGCTTCGACACTGCTGACTCCCCCTCGATACAGTTGAAATGTGTTGCATCTGTTCTCATGTTCAAATGAGTGTCACAATTATAGTTTAAAAGAAAGGTTCATAGGTTTTTTTTGTTGTTTGTCCTAATGCAATGATCATAAACTCATGTGAAAGAGTTATTGTAATCCTTCCTCCTCTCCCATAATGGACGGGCAGTGCTCCCTTCCTAATTCAATTCCAACGCAAAAGATGAGGAAATCACTGCCCATGTGCGGAAATTAAGAATGCAATCCCTTTTCCCTCTTCACTGCCAGTATGCACATAGGGAAAGTTTCAATGACAAAAAGCTTGTGTGCATGTGAGTATTGTTTGAAGACAGACTTAAAAGTGGGAACCTATACTTACTTAACTAACATTTATAGCAGTTGTCAGTACTTTACTGGATGATTTACGCACAAAAAGCATCTTCAACTCCCGAAGGACAATAAAAAAATCAAGGCTTCGATATAGAGAATGTAAGTGAAGTTTATTCACACTCCCCATAGTGCCATAGTTTTGATTGGAGACTATCCTGAACATGTTGCAGTGCCACATGCTCAGCCTCTAATATAACCTTATTGTAGAAGGTGTAATCTGTCTACCAGCAAACTTCTCTAGTTCCATGTCTATGTGACCAAATCTATGTGCACAGTACTTCCCTTAACCAAAGCACTTCTGTCGCCTAAACATACACACACATGAACACACAGTCACACATTGTTCTGGTTGGATAACTGGGGTGGGTGGAAACCAATCAAATAAACCGTAAAGGGTGCTTTTATTAGTAATAAAAACATAAAACATAAAATCTTCTTGTTTAAACAGACATACATTTATTCTTGCCTCATTCTTGCCGCCTAAGTTCATAGGGGGATAATATAAATCATATTTGGTAAGAAATTATTAATAAATAACAACTCAAATCTGGAACATATTTGCGTGTTAAGAAAAGGTGTTCACCAGGAATGCCATTGTGTCATAGTGCATAATGAATACACATAATGTCCTGTTCATGGGTTATTAGTCTGTCTTCTTTGAGGTCTGAGCAGACAGAAAAGTACATTGGAGTTGAACATCTTGACTCTTGACTTTCTGAAATCTGGAGCTCATTTGAACACTGAAGATGCTGGAAGTCATCACTTTTAAAGAGGAATCACAATCAACAACATGAATCCAATTAATAACCTGCCATCCCCAGTGTGTTGCCTAAGTGCCTATGACAAATCATCCTGCTTAAGCGTAAATTTTGATTCATTCCCGCTGTCCTCTGCTCATCATGTGCACCAGCAACTTTCCATCTGCTGCCACAGCAGCTGAACTGTAAATCACTGCTCTGGAGTTTTCTGTTGGAACGAAGGTCTGTTTGTGCAACTTGTCACCCAGCTTTGGCCTTGACACTAACAATCACTTTTGGATTTGATTCTCATGGGAACAGGCACAGATACTGTCTCTATTTTTAACTGTGTTCTGCTGTTGTTTGTTTTCTCCTTAATAGTTTTCGTCTGCATCTATTCAGTTTTAAGTGCACTATCAATACCATTGAAAATGAAGCCATGTCCTGATACACACACATGTACAGATAGCCATAACTTTTCAGAATAACAAGGTGAACATCATTTATTGTGACAGAACAGTAGGGAAGGAGATTTTGTTATGTCTTTTTCAGATGGTTCGATGCAGCGCAGACGTTACACAGAGATATGTGTGCTCAAAATTTCACACACAGATTAAACATTAATCTTGGTGTCCCCCTCATGGGGAGGAGTCTGTCTGTGGTCAGAACAAATACTTGGACGTAGAGGACTCCCACTATTACAGCCCTCTGTGTGGTGCCGACCTGATGGGAAAGAGGCACAACATGAGATCAAGTACAGGTACTAGATTCACACCTTCTGCGCTTATTTCATCTTTGTTTTTTAGAATATTTTATATGAGCTGTGTCATTAATTTTGTCCTTTTGGTTAGTATATTTGATTATATTCTTATATTTGTTTTTAAATATTTGGAACTTTCTATGTATGTCTTATGCCTGTGCCATGTTTGTGTTCTATTGTGCTCCGTACATCTATACATCTGATGAAATAGAGATCTTAAAGTGAATTCTATACATTCTCTTGTTGAACAATCGTTTGGATAGCGCTACCAAATGTTAATTAAAAAGTGACATCTTTAAATGGTGATCATCAGCAGACCGGGTTGAGCGTCAGCTGTTTGTCTTTGTGTGTATCTGGAGGACCACTACGTCCTAGGACATTAAAGGAAAGGTTTATGGTGGGGAAAAACAAACAGTGATCCATTAGTGATCCACCGAAGTGCCTGTGGTATAAGCTATCCAGGAGAGGAGGCTGCTCGGCCACGTAAATGTGATGTGAGCCAAGGGTTTCATGTGGGAGTAGAGAGTTAGTGAGTGTGTCGTTGATCACTCACAGATTCTGTGTATTACATTATCGTAACAGTTTGTTTGGATTCGTACTGTGTCAGAGAAGCAAGGACTCTCTTATCACTGACATGATGAACCACCCAGATCAACAATGTTACATATAAGAGAACAGAGACGGTTTAGTGTGTAGGATGAAAATTCAACCTTTATTTCTACAAGTTAGGTGAGCTGAGAACACGTGGTCTTTTGTGACAAAAGCCATGGTAACAATTTTGCAGAGTAAAACAAACAAAATAGCAAGGATAGGCAGAGTAAAAAAATATAACAAGGTGACATTTAAGATTAGTTCCATGTGTCCTGCATTTTGCAGTATTGCAGTATCAACCAGTTCCAGGAGTGAGTTAAGTGTGGGCCAAAGTGCCAGAGCAGCAAAGATGAGATATATGAAGACTTACCAACAAGGCTTTATAGATAAATAAGTACTATATGGCTCTCAGACAGGGCTCGCCAGCAAAGTTTATCTTATAGGAGAAGCAGAGTGGTAAAAGAAGTCGGGGGCCTCAACACAGTATCTGACATTCCCATAGTTCAGAGCTGAGAGGAAAACTGCTCTAACAATCCCTTTCCTACAGCTCAGAGATAAGCTGCTTGTGTTTCTGTACAAAAAGCCAAGTTTATCAACAAGGTTTTCCTTCAAGATATTTAAATGTCATTTTCTCCCTGAGCCAGACGCCAAGATATTTGTATTCTGTGACCCTCTCTGTGTTAGACCCACTCAGCCAGGACGTATGTATATTATTGTAAATCTATATTTTTTCATCTGGAGAAATCTAGTTTATTTTCATGAAGTACTAATCCAAGATAAGAGCATCTTGCAGTGCAGCGAAGGAGGGCTCTCAGAATTTCTCTCAGAATCAGCAATGCAGTATAAAACTGTATCATCTGTGTAAATATGAATTTTACACTCAATGAATTGAAATTATTGAATTGCTCGGTTAATGAGTCAATAATTTATGTAAGAGGGATGGTTTTTTTTAAAGCCATGCTTAAACAGCAAAAAGACATTGCTCACGATGGCCCAGATGTGCCACATTGGAAAAAGCAATGTCTACCAGAATGTTTTGTATTAGGAAACTTACGTGTATTTTTTGTGACAAGTTATCTATCAGTCAGCATGTTCTGATAAATACTCCCACTCAGTCTTGCTGCTCAAAGCAGACTTATTACAGATGTTGATTTACGTAAAAACGATGCTTGCCTGACTAACAGTTGGAGTGCCAGGTCCTGACAAATTTAGATTCTTTCTCCCAGATGTTTGTAACTTTGAGGACTTTAATGTTCTTTAAATTCCCTCCCCTTTTAGAGAGGCCAAAGACTAAAGATAATCACACAAAGTCAAACCCTGTTTTATGGTGCCTCTGATGTTAGTCATAGTCAGCACATACTGTATGTCCAGGGCTCACACAACAATCTTACTGTGTGTCACAGTTTAGTGGACAGAACCACGCAGATGTTCACAGAGCTGTAAGTTCAAATTAATATAGCATACTGTGATTTGGTAGTCAATGACAATGTACAGTTTGCATTGCTATTCTACAAAATTTTACTTGCCATCTGTGCCATCAGTTATTATGGAAACTGCATCACATATTACGATCAGTATGGTAAATATGTGTGGAAATGTGTGGGTACGGATCTAAAGCCACTCACTTCATATGATTTTTATTTTCAAGGTTTGGTGGAAATCATTGGGTTGACAGAGTAAGTATGCTTTTCCTCTAATTGTTTGCACCAATGTTCATACATTTTGAAATACCCTCATAACGTAAAGTTAATGTTAATGTTACAATGATCAGGCACCGAATAGAACAGAGTTGGATCTTTAGCCTGAAAACCAAATTACAGTGTTCGAGTCTGCCCAAACAAATATCGTATAAATGCTGAGTACACAGAGCTTGACAGAAATTTGGAAAGTTATATCTGACTTGGCATTTTGACTTTTGGAGTACAGTAATCTTTAAGACTTTGGGCCAGAGATAAGACCTGCTATACACAGATAAATGCTTCTGTTACTGATATGATAATGGAGAAGTTGTGCAATTAATATGCAGTAAGTTTTGTAATGTGTTCGTAATTGATGCAATTGAATGATTAATTAAATCAAAATTTAGAAAAATAAGTATGGCTTTTAATTGGATCAACCTACAGAGTATTTGTAACATTTAAACAGGTTATTAGATGAGATTCAACCATTCAGCTGTTGCCCTCACCCTCACCCTCACCCTCACCATTAAATGGTTTACTAATTGTTGATCGACTGTTTGCCTACACATTGCTGAACATTAGTTGAACATTAGATTGTTCAACAAAGACTATAGTGAAATGTAAACTCTCTGTATCTATCCAAATAAAGTGTTAGGGTCATAAACATAAAGAAAGTGGACTTTTCTTCACCTTCCAAGTTACAGAAAGTGATGATAGTCATCAGTAACTGAAAGGTTAGATGTCTTCCACCTCTCATTTTGCAGGAAATTCACATTTAATCCTAAAGAGGGAATAGACAACCCAGTGATGGTCATCACAGACGACGCAGGTATCCTGCATGCATAATTTTCCAACTATACCCTGTGTATCCAAACATGAGGAAAGTTGTCTATGTGTGATAGCGCTTTTCTGTCTCCTCCTGCTCAGACTCCATGCCGACACCCAGCCCACGTCTGTGTGTTCTTAAACGAGAGGAAGGGGAGTCCTATGGCTTTCATTTGCGAGTGGAGAGGGGGCGTCAGGGTCACATAATCAGAAAGGTGGTGTCAGGGGGAGTGGCTGGGTGCAGTGGCCTTCAAGATGGAGACAGGCTTCTGGAAGTCAACAACTGCTATGTGGACGATGTTCCTCACCCTGAGGTAAGAGGAGCTTCTGACATTATTACAAGGACAGAAATCTCTCTGAAGGACTCATGAGATTCTTACTGGTTCTACGGTGTTTCCCATTTCATGAATAAGGTGGCCAGGAAGATAAAGCTGAGTGGACACCAGTTATATTTATTAGTGTTGGATGGGGAGGAGTATGAGCAGGCTGTGTTGCGAGGCCAAGAGCTCCAAGACCTGGTCAGAGCACACAAGGGCGAGGACTGTAAACCACCCAGACTCTGCCACATCACCAGAGATCCTGTCTCCGGTCTGGGCATTAACTTCTCGCCTGTGGAAGGTAACGCTGCTTCTTGTAATCACAGCAAGTCCAAAGATCAAGATTGGATGTCTAACATGCTTTCAGCTGAAGTCTGTGCAGTGTTATTCACTTGCTCCTCCTGTTTGTGCTCTGTAGGAGAGAAAGGTCGCTTCTCCGTGAACCTGGTGACAGGAGGGGCAGCTGAAAAGGCAGGGGTGTGTAAGGGAGATCGCCTGGTGTGGATAAACGGAGCAACAGTGTCCGACCTCACACACTCAGCACTCAGCAGGATGGTACACAGTCAACCTGTTCTTACAATTATTTTGTAAAGTCACACTGCTGAATTTCTCCAAAAATGGCTATTATTAAAAAAAAAAAAGAAGCACACACACAGACGACACAGAGATGAGATTTATATCCAGCCTTGTCTAATAATAATAAATAATGTTTTGCTGTAGATGAAAAAATGTGGCAATCACATCACCATCCTGGTGATTGACAGTGAGAGTGAGAAGAACTACATGCGACAGAGGATGCCTATCCTACCCACCATGGCTGTTCCACACAACCTGCCTCATAGGGCCAGAAAACTCCACCTGGTCTCTGGGCCTGAGGGCTACGGCTTCTTCCTTCGGCTGGAGAAGACGCCAGCAGGACGCACATGTAAGAGACAAAAAGAGTGCAAATCTTAAAACACAAGCATTCTAAGCATTAAATACATTTCTGTGTATTTTTGAACAACAGCTCATGTTCTGCGTGAGATGGACAGAGACGGTCCAGCAGAAAGGGCAGGTATGCAGGACGGGGAGCTGCTGCTGGAGATCAATGGAGAGTCAGTGGAGACAGTGACGCACGAGGAGATTGTGGACAGAGTGAGACAGAATAAACAACAGGTTACCTTCACCACCATCACTTCCCAGGGGCTCGAGTTTTACACCCAGGTGGGCATCACCAAAACTGTTTTATATGTTTTACAGGGGTGAGAACAGAACTGGAAAATTGTACTCAAGTAAAAGTATTTTAGAAATATTTACTCAAATAGAAGCAAAATTACTTGTGGAAAAATGTACTTAGATAAAAGTGAAGTGAAGTCAGTTAAAATGTCCTCTGAGTAAACAATGTGAAAAAATATTTTATTATGATAATAATGTTATATGAACTTTATTGAAATTGAAATTTATTGTTGTATTTAAAGTTAGGGCAATTTTTATATTTTGTTAATATTACATTACATTAGTCGTTCAGAAGTGGCCCATTGAACTGTTTGTATCCTGCTCTGCTCTGAGAGCACCGACCTCCATTATTGGACGGCTCAAACGCAAGGGACTCCTTTTACCTGATTACATTACATTACACATTTTATTGTCTTCTAACTGTGTGGCATTTTATTATTTTATCTTTACTATTTTGTCTTCATTTTTATTAGATTGTTAATATCCTGCCTTTTATATCTTGTTTTACTCACTTTAATACTCTATCATTATCTTTCCAGTCTTCAATGTTTCCTCAGTGCAAATTTGCGAGATTGGTAGCGTTTCCTCAGTTCCTGTTATTATTGTCTTATTTTTTATTGTTTTTATTTATTACTCGATCATTTATTGTTCTGTGTGTAAATGTGTGTGTGTGATGATGGTTCTTAACCCTGAGATTTCAGACCCCCTGGGCACATTCAAGTCAGCAGTGTGGCAACATTTCTAAATTTCTAAATATGAATCCATATCTAAACATAATTTTCATTCAGTTCAGTAAGTATTTATTTTCTTCATTTCGTTTCTGTAGTTGGGTCTATCACCTCTTCTCTTCTGTGAGGATGCTGCAGCTGAGAAAGAAGAGGAGAGCAGTGCACCTGCCTCTGAGGCAGAGAAGTCAGTACAAAAGGAAATGGATGGCTCGTGCAAGTCTAGACTCTGTTCTCTCCGAAAAGGCCCTTTGGGGTTTGGCTTTAATCTGGGTTGTGTCCCAGAGAATCCTGGGACTTTCATCAGCCAGGTGGGTGATGACATATTTTATTGCCCTTAGTCAACATTACCTTGTTACTGAGGCACAAAGAACAAGAAGAGAACAGCTCAGGATATTATGTTTTCTTGTCAAATGTTGTGGTAGATTTAATTTTCTCTCTTGCAGGTGGCTTTTGGTGGCTCTGGGCAGAGTGCAGGACTACTTGTGGGTGATGTGGTGATGGAGGTCAATGGAGAAAATGTGGAGGACAAATATCTGGAAGATGTGATTATGCTTGTGAAGGAAGGAGGATCTTTTCTTTCACTATCAGTGATGGATAAGACTAGCTATAACAAGATGAAGCAGACTGACACACCAACCAGAAATGTCACTGAGGTAAAAAAAAAAGAAAAAAGATTACACAGTGTATACTACACAATCTTTTTTTACATATTCATCACTTCAACAATGACCTCTACCTTCACCATATTATCTCATTTGTATCTCAGCAGAAGGAAGACAACAATGAGATATCATGGTTGTGAGCAACAAAGACACATCATTCTGAAGACATTCTCCCATCCCATATGTCTACTGAGGAGATTTCAAACTGGGCTGAACAAGAAAAAACAAATATTATTAACTTATTGGCAAAGAGTTTGTTAATCTAATCAGGGTTTCACAAAGGAGAAAAAAGATAAATGAAACTGTAAATGTGTATTTGCATATGATATGTATATGTATTTTTGGTTTGGTATTATACTGCACAGCTAGAGATGTTGAACATTTTGTCTGCCACATATGAGCTCAATCAGATAAAGCAGAAGATAGATTAAATGCTCCAGATCTTAAAGCACCATGATAAACTAAATTTCCTATTGTACTGAGATGAAAAGAAACCAGTGGGTGTGTGTTTGAGCAGAAAAAACATTTGGAAAACTACTATTACTACGATTCTTTAGAAAATGAACAGCAGTTATATAAAGTATTGATGATAAATGGGGAAAAACACTGGTATGGCCAATTAATACTATGTAAAATAAAATTGTAAGTGTATGTGTTTTATGTATTATTTATATGTAATTTAAATGAAATAAAATGTTTGATGAATGTTCTTGACTGCAATTTGTAATCTTACCTATATGTCTCTGAATATTCACCCTTTGTTTGCTATGTTGAAATCGCAAAAAATGATACAGCCTAATATATAACAGAAGACATAAAAGGGCTGTGCGAAAAGATATAATGCAAGTATCTAAACAAAAATGAAAGTGTTGATGTGCAAAATGTCAGTGTTTTAGCAGACTTTATGTAGCTATTGATGAACATTTTCATGGAACTGAACAGATCTACTCTAATAGAGCATGACATTACTTGGTGGCAGTGAGATCTGAGAGCTGAGATGTGACCGATCACGCCCTGATGTGACATGTACCTTCTTCAACCTAAGTACAGTCTTATGATTGTTACTGTTATCCGTTTACCAGTTATGAGTCCTGGAAAGTTTAAACCTGAATATATATTCTTATAAAATGCCTATCACTCATAAACTCACTTACATAAACTTTTATCCATATTACTCTAATTAATGTTCCTATCAATTATCTGTAGCCTTGACGTAAAATACCCAACAAACAACACTCTCATGGTCTGGTTCACTGCACCCTCTGGTGACCGTCTCGCAAAAATGTAGCTTGTACATTAACATCCAATTAGCTATCAACTGTTGGATTCTGTAATTGAACCGCAAGGCACTGTAGGGAGAGTGGGAATAAAATTATATTGAAATTCTGGAAAAGTCAGGATGCTATGACCCGCTTTTACATGAAATATTGTATTGTAAACCATAACTGTACATAGAGGTCTTACCTCTCAGGGTGTTTCTGTACAGGCACTTGTGTGGTCAGCTGTACTCTGGGGTCCTTCCACTGGAGGTGACATTCAGTCGGCTAGCAGGAACAGGGGAAGCGGTTAGCATCGACAAACATTTCAACATGGCACAGGCAGTGCAAAAACTGGTCGCTAAAGTACCCACGCTGGTCGGCGGTAAGTCCGTTTGTTGTATAATTCTAATATTATATAATGTGTTTAAAAATAGAGAACTGAGTCGTAGTTAGTGTAATTTGTATTGACAAGACGTAGCTAGGCCGTCGCTGTCAGTCAGTTACACCGCGACCCAGCCATCAACAGAATGAAGTGGACGTAACGTTAGCTAATGTTGTCTGGAGTGAAAAACACTTAACTAATTGACATTTCATGTTTTCATGCTTATCTTACTAAATTGTTGTGTGGCTAGCTAGCACTAGTGACTTGTATTGTTTACACTCATTGCCCATTAGCCATTTGGCTAAGTAGCTAATGCTACCGGGTAGCATAGAGGGAGCTCTGCTGCAGCTCAAAGCTAACTTTTGGAGCAGTAGTGCAAAGTAACACCAGAGGCGTGCAGTAATTGCTATATTTTATCTTCTTCTAGCCGCTGTCACCTACTCCAAACCTCGGCTAGCAACCTTCTGGCACTATGCCCGTGTTGAACTTGTCCCCCCAACCCCTGCCGAGATCCCCAAGGCCATCGAGGGAGCCACAAACCTAATCAAGGGTGTACAGACAGGACGTCTCGGTCAAACCACAGTGAAGGTGTGTTGTTGTTAATGTGTTATTGCCTGTCAGACAGACTATATATATATATATATATATATATATATATATGCACAATTCACACCCTCAAATGATATCAACTCGCTGTCAGTCTCCATTGACTGGTTTAAAATATTTCACGTATTTTTTATCAAATCGTAATGATATGGCTCATTATTAGAAATTTCAATACATAAAAGTGGATACTTTCTGATGTCATATTAGTAACTAGTATGCAGTTTGTTGAGCAACAGTTTTCTTTAATTGTAAATTGTGAATGTCATAAAGGTTCAGAAAAAAATCACTTAAAAAGCAAACCATATTACTCGCATATCCTAAATACAGTCTAGCTGTGCAAATATTTTTAGTTTTAATTGTCAACGTTTTGTGAGATTCGTTGCTGCCACCACACTGCAATGCCAGTTAAAAGAGTATTTGCAGTGCTTGCAACACTGAAAAATAACATTGTATTATTGAATTGTGTTTGGTAAAATACAATTGTCCTCCAGAAAGAATGTCCTGCTCACACAGAGACCTCCCTGAGAACAGTTTTCTTTCTTTAAACTTTGATTAAAAATTGTTGTGGAAGCCAAAATCTTAGCAATACAGCTAAGATAAAATACAGCAGTAATCAGAAATGCATATTGATCATTATCACTGATGAAGGAAGTTTGATAATTTATTATTTTATTTGATGTCTCTGCAACAGCTCGCAATAACCCATTATTAACATTTTGATGTCAATCTAGATGTGAAATGTCCTAAAATTCAATTTGCCCATGACACAAAAGATTTCTGGCAAAGAAATCGATGAATCATTGCATGTTCAAAAAGGCATTGAAGAAATTCATCAGTATTATTCTCTTTTCATTGATATAGTTAATATTACACAAAATAGAAACATGATTAAATAATCCACAAGGATCACAGTGACAGTAACATTATCACCAGTGGCAAATACCACATTTTACTTGTTACCTTTATCCAGAGGGAAATCAAAGTCAAGTTTTTGTTTCTTCACAGGATGCTGTCAGGAATGGACTGGTGGCCACTGAAGTGTTGATGTGGTTTTACATTGGAGAGTGCATTGGCAAGGGAGGCATCGTTGGCTATAATGTCTGAATTTTGGACTGTCATGGTTTTTTTTTTCTCTTGAGCGTTGTATGCTCAACTTCCTGCAAGAATCCTGGGAACCAATAAATAGATGTCTATTGTTAAAGTGACTACAGTGTTGTTTTCTGACTCCTTGCTTTCTCTGTATAATGGATTGTTTTTTGGTTGTATTTTACAGATTTTCATTTTCATATAGCATGTAAGCACTTGTACTTGACACATGGCAGTATACAGCTAAAGGAAATAAGAATAATAAAGGTATGAAGTACTTTCTCCTCCCAAGAGCTATAATAATAAGTGTTTTTAGTTCATACTTTTGATGTGTCACTTAAGAAAAAGCTCAGGTGTAAATGATGAAATGAATATGGATTCTGTTTAGCTGCTTCAGTTTCAGAAGCTTGGTATTGTGACAAGTTAAAATCTCTGCTGTGGAAATGTCCTGTAGGTTAATGGTGAGATCGTTATTAGACAAACTCAGTATGTCACAACGATTACTTTATGGATCGGTGTGCACATCAAAAATTTAATCACATCCTGTAGAAAATGAGTCTGAAAATGTGTGTTGTCACTCTTCATTTGACTCATGCTCGATAATGTCCTAAATTTTTTTGGATTGAATTTTTTCTTAACCATGTTTTTGCAGTAAAGAAAAAAGAAACTGATTGTTTACTGACATATGCACATTTGAAGATGCAGTCAGAACACAACAGTGTTACCAGCCATAGTCAGTGGTAATTACTTTTTTATTTCTTTTCAGTTCCCCTAATCAACCAACAGAGGGAGCCATGAGTATTGTCAGTGTTCAAATGGTGATGGTGCTCCTATTTATTTAAGAGCAGGTGTCTTGCTGATTCACAGTTACATGTGATTATAAATGGGATGGTTCACATACCAATTAAATAATTTAAGATAAATTTGAAAATGTATATCTTTATATGGATCGTTCATAAGGATTGAAACTTTCTAGACCTTTAAGACACAAACAAGTAGTGCCATTTCCTTATTTATATGTATATAAAACAAAACCTATCATTTCTAATCAGTTAAATTATTTAATTTGCCAATATAGTGTATATATAACACCCTTTGCCCAGTCCTAATATTCTTATGGAAAAACAGATAAATAATCTCGAAAACACAACAATGTCTTCATTTATTTAGCTCTTTATTTCGAACTATCAATGAATAATTTTGTTACAAAACAAGTCTTTTCTGGAAACAGTTATACTCTGTTTGGCCTTTATATAAGTAAACATACACAAAATTAAATAAGGGTTAGTTCAAGTGAAAAAAAACTATAAGGACTTTCAGCAACTGATATGACAACAGATAATATCACAACATGAAATGACTAAAATATTCTGAATGTAATGCACCAACATGAGCGTCATTGTAATACTTAAAATTCATTATGCAATAATATTGGCCTACAGTGAAATGACCTATCATCAGAAAACATACCTCAGGGTACAGTCATTATGAATTAAAATATGTCATACACTTAATGAAATAATAATTGTGGGTAAATCTAAAAATGTAATGGTATTATATTTCCTGTGGGAATATATAATGTTTACAGATTTAGCTCATGTATACTGACATGTTAGAAAATTGTCCAGCAGTTACTATCAGAAGCCTGAAGGGATAACACTTTCTTGATATTGTGATTATGCAGTAATTACGTATTTCAATAAGATCTTAGAAAACTATCATGAAAATGTGATTTGACAGCAGAATGCAAAACATAGTATGTGATATGTGGGGTTAAAAAAGTATATACACATTTGGAAGTAACTTTTTTCTAAAAAAAAAAAAAAGAAAAAGCAATAAAACTTAATTTATGTGGTTTGGTACAGTGTGAAAATTTAGCAAAAATATATATTCCAAAAGCATTGCTGTATAGTATAAGAAACAAATGCAAAATATTCTCAGATCTTCAAATGAGAGCTGAAACATCGATGATCACTTGATATTGCAGATCTTGACTGAGGTTCCAACTCCAAAGCCCGGATAGAGGGGCTCAACAAACGTGGCCTCAAACCTGTGCAGGAGGGTCATGGTGTTGCTTATGCTATAAAACGCCAGCACACCTGCAGTGTGGTCCAGGTACACGCCTATCCTGGGGGAGTGGGGGCCATTGACGGATTTGTCCACACGGTTGTGCCAGGCAGAGTAACCTGTGTCAGAACAGAGGAGACTCCAGGATTTGTCGTTGTAGCCCAGCAGACACAGCGAGCCTTTGCCTTTTCGGCTGATGCTTCTGTAGGCCACTCCGATGGAGAACTCCCCGCTCCACTCGATCTCCCAGTAGAAGCGGCCTCCAGAGAGGGACTCCCGGCAGAGCACCTGGGCAAAGCTGTCAAATCGCTCTTGGTTGTCTCCATAGGGCTGCAGGTCCCTGGTGCGGATGACTTTTCTGCTGTTTTCAGAGATGAACAGCTCTTTGTAGGCTGTAATGGGGTCTAATTTCAGCTGGCAGAAGTCTATGGGAAGAAGAATCAACACATTTTATAGTATTTATTAGGTGAATGAATTGTGTTAGGCTTGAAATTGTTCCATTTCTTGTAAATACACAAGATAACTTACATTTCACAAAATCTGCTCTGCTCTTTGGCTCTGGAGGAGGAGAGTTGTTCACTATCATTTCTTTAACTGCAGATGAAGAAACGCTGCGTTAAATCAGTGCAAACTGCATACACCCACACACACGCCTTTAATTCTTTTGTTTGTGTGTTTTTGCAGGGTTTGTAACAATGCAAATGCTTTTATGGTTTGACACTTCAGGAAACTGCACTGTCAACATGAGTGATAATTAACCTCCTACAGTCTTATATTACTATATGACGTGATGGCGCTCACCTCTGCTCCTTCTGTCCAACGTTCGACTTGCTGTAGTGTAGACTGGTACCTCATTCACTGCAAGACATAACACACTCATAATTAGTAAATTGAGGATTTTGGTGTTTTAAGCCCAGTATGTACGAGTGTTGTGTTTCTGCTGCTGAGGTCTGACCTGACTTGGAGATCTTAAGCAGCTCCTCTCTGCCAAACTCTTCAAGGCGTTCCTTGATCTCAGCCACAGCTTTCCTCACATTCCCGAAGGAAAAGTCAGGGTTGACTGTCACTTTGGGTAAGAAGCCATCGTCAGTGGGAGTGCAGAGGTAATTGAAGTTCTGATGGGAAAAGAAAAGCAAGTGTTGTGAGGAGCATGAATGTACATCAACATGAACTATCACAACATGTTTTAAAGCAGGGGGAAGTCTGTTGATCAAGTGTCAGACATTGGATTGTCACCAACTATTTTTACATTGAAATGGACATGGAACATGGAAATTTGAGCATTTTGAAAACACTTCAGATCTATATTCTTATAATATATCAAAGTGCTGTCTCTGAAGAAAGGACTTTGGTCTTTACAGTGTCATCATGTACATGGGCAACCCGTTAAGTAACAAGATGTCTCATGAAAAGCCACACCCACATGTACTAATTACTTCAGTGTGTGATAATGACTGACGTTCGGCCTAATTAAGATTAAAAATGCAAAGTTGCGTTAAAGAATTCACAGAGTTATGGTGTCAGTGTGCTGCCGTATATGTATGGTGAGACCACCAGTTAACCGTAGCACCATAAAATGACAACTCCAGATGTATTTCTTCTTAAACAGTCGCTCTAAAACCGCGTGTTACCTGCAGAAAGTGGATGTGGTCCTCAGTGCTGTAAAGCTGCTTAAGCCCCGACTCCTTTTTCTTCAGTTCATCGATCTCTTGTTCCAGTCGCTCGATCAAAGCCTCGGCCTGGTTGAAAGCAGCCTTCTCGTTGATTCCAATCAGCTTGGTCACCTCTGACCTCATCCTCTCAATGGAGCGGATCATGTCCTCGAACATCTTCTGGCTGTCCACCATGGCTCTCTGGGCTGAATTCTGGACAGAACACACACAGAGGAGTCAGTATTTTACAGAAGCAGCTGCCACTATGGTTTGATCCATGATGCGCGACAGTCATGGTAGACATCTTTTAGAGATTCCTTTCTTTTCTGTCATAATCAGAGACTGCTTCTCGGTAGAAAGACCTTACCTTCAGTGAATCCACTGCAGTCTTCAGTTCCTCCAGCTCCTTCACCCTCTCCTGGCATTTTTGTTTAATCTCAGCTTGGGAGACTCCCAATAGTTTCTGCAGAAAACAGACAGTATTACACCACTATCTATTTCCCCTGTTTTCTTACAAGAACTCCCACACTGATAGTTGAACTTGCTTCTTTCTAATTTATTATGCAGTGTTACAATTTCTGATCGTAAAGTTGCATTAAATCAGCTGAATGAGATGCTGATTTAATGTACGAGGTATAAAGCCTCATATCTGTTGGCTTGGTGCAAACATTCTTTCTCATCAAGGGATATCTGGAGAGGCCCTTCGGCATGTCTAATAAACCCTACTCAAAGAATCTTCTTAATACGACCAGCTTTTATCTCAGAGGGAGAGGGGAGGAAAAATCTGTAATGGAATTCAGGCCATGTCAGGAATGTGAGTCTACCGCTGCCTGACTTTTAAAGAGATGTTTCAAGGTGCACACAGCACTGACATGCAGAATAGAGGGCTTCTAATTCAGCTTTTACTCAAGCCCACCAGCCCATTCTTCAAGATAAGCTTGAGGAATGTGGGGAATCTAGGGTGGGGGGGGAGTTGAACATGAGAGGGGGGGAGGGGAGTGAGTGGGATATGGAGTGAGATGTGTGAGAATAAGGTTGTAAATCTTTGGGTGAGAGAAACCAGGCTCCTCGTGTTGTAAAGAAAACAGTAGGAAGAATTATTACTTCATCATTATAAAAATCCTGGAGTCCATATTCCTGGGTGTCATAAAAACACTCCTTCCAAATTACTCATGTACAACAACTGTAATTACACTCAACAGATTTACTCTACATTGTTTTCCAGGCTGCCTGGCTGGTGCGTCATTTGAATGTCCATTACCATGCTTTGCAACACAGTGACTGGTTGCTCATGAGGTGTGGAAGGCCATGACTGTCTGGCATTCCAGTATCATTACAGACCCACTCCCACAGGTGGGAACCAGTGCAGCAGGAGGAAGCCTACAGTTTCTGTGTATCTATCCCACAGCTGGAACACTACATTCTCTGAAAAGCGGCTTTCAGAGGCGATAACTATAAGACACTCCCCCCAGCCTCGGCACAGCTAATCAGAGAGCTGGATTTGTTTTGGCGGTGAATGCCTGCCAGGCTAGCTGATAGCACTGGCGAAATGGGTCAAAGTCCAACCACCAGTTGTAGCACACGGAAAGGAGCTGGGCAAAACACCCTGTTTGCTTAAAGTCAAGTTACTCTAACTCCAACATGAAGTCAGACTCTCATTCTCTGAGCAGCTGAATGAAAGTGATTTTTCTAACAGGTGAAAAATGCTGTTCTGTGCTGTTGAGTATCTAAACTATTAAAAGGAATCACTAACAGAGATATGAGGATTTCTTACCTGTTTCTCACCCCTCTCTGCCTCAGCAGAGACAATGTCATGGCCCCTGTGTTCACTGACTGTGCAGATAGCACAGATACACATCTGGTCTGTTCGACAGAAAAGCTCCAGGGACTTCTGGTGCTGCGGGCAGATTTTCCTGTCCAGGTTTCCCAGCTCATCCACCAGCTTGTGCCGTTTGAATGTGGCTGATTCATAGTGAGGCTTCAGGTGCTTCTCGCAGTAGGACGCCAGACAGTTCAGGCAGGACTTCACAGCCTTAAATTTCTTCCCAGTGCAGAAGTCACAGGGGACGTCACTTGGTCCAGCGTAGGCATTCCCCTGAGACATGTTGAGGTTGAGGTTCAGACCGCTCTTCTTGATCTTCTCAGCCACCATGCTCAGAGTGGCATTGGGCCGCAGCACAGGCCTCTGGGTGAATGTGATCTTACACTGGGGGCAAATGTAAATCCCTGTGTAGTCAGCCTCGTTCCAGTAGCCGCTGATGCAGTCCATACAGTAACTGTGGCCACAGGGTATAGCCACAGGATCCCTCAGAAGGTTCAGACACAGGGAGCAGCTGAAGTAATCTGGAGAAGTGTGATCAGCCATTGTGATGGGCTCAAAACACAGTCAGACCTGTGGAAACAGACAGAGAGAATGGAGAGCCAGAAGCAGATAGAGATTTTGTCGACTGTGCCCGGGAGCCCGCCCTCAAGAGTTTGGAACAGCCTGCCAGAGACAGGACCTACTTGTATTTCTGAATTCCAGAGGTTATTGATTGAAAGCAGACAAGGCCCTCCCCCTGTGCTGTGAGTATATCGAGCCCTGCCCAGTTTAGATAAGCAGGTTGAGCAAGGAAGGAGAGGGAGAAAGGGAGAGAGAGAGAGAGAGAGAGAGAGAGAGAGAGAAAGGGCGGGCAGACAGGAGAGGAGAGAGAGAGGGAGAGAGAGAGAGAGAGAAAACAGACTGAAAGAAAGAGAATGAATGAAATGTGAAAAGCAGAAGGAGTGAAAACTAATGTGCAAGAACACACTTCCATTTTCCCTGCAGTTTCCTTTATTCTTGAATTTCTCATGTGGCTCATCTGTGGATGTATTGCGCACACACTTCTCGGCAGCTGTATTTCCACCTATTGTTGTCAGACAGAATTGCCATTGTCTCAAACCGGTTATAGTCCGACAAACATCAATGCGACCTAAGGTACTGTAGGAATTTAAGGGACCACCCAATAAACAAACAGAGACACTTTGAGCTCGAGCAGAGTTTCTGAGTAATTTTCTAACATCCCTGCTCACTCCTTTTATCACCAACAGCCTGTTTTAAGGTTTAACTTGCTGTAGGTGGTTTGTCCAAGAGCAGGTCGAGTTCAGAGTTGTGGTGTTTACACTACCACCAGTCAAACCAGTCCAGCAACATATACAAGTCAATTTGTAACTGTAGATATGCATCTGTTTGTGCAGCAGAAAGAAAACGTCATGCTTCAGACACAAAACGGAAACACACATGCACACGTACGCGTGCACGAACACACAACATTCCTGTCCGTTCCAGGTGTGTTGTTGCAGAGTGGGTGTTTCACATATTTGTGTCACGAGTTATGATTCTTTTTTTTTTTCAATTCTTTTCATTTTTCATCACCTATTGTAGTGTTATTTAAAACCAGCTAAAGGGGAAAAACTTCTGGAGATCCTGAGTGTGTCTGCAACATGAAGTGTCTGCTGACATCATAGCCTCTCATTAGCATTTCAATTGGGCCTCGTCTCCTGGTTTCCACCAAAACTACTGCCCCGTTTACAGTCTGTTGCTCAGGATTACTTTGAAAATCCCAACTGTAAAGGAACTTTTGTTTTGCTTTCTCGTGTACTTTGCATTTGCTGCCTTTATCCAGAATCATGTAGGACAAAGATAATTGTTCATTTAAGGTTGTAAAAACTACACCTCCACCTTCAATTCATATCTCGTCCTACCTCATACTCCGTGGTTCTACTTCATAGTTTCACCTCTCCATATTTGGTCTGGTTTCTGATAAGCCAGTTTTTCCTTCCTTCCTCCAGAGTAAAGGGAGCACTCTGTGCTTACAGATTAACTGCCCGTCAGTGGCAAAGATCAAGGGACAAAACTTTGAATCTGGTTTTATATGAGATTCAAACACATGATGGAAAAACGAAGACTATACAGTGCACATTTATTTAAAAATGTCGATTGGGAAAGTCAATATGAGGCATGATAATGTTTAGGATACAAGACACTTTAATGAGATATAATAACACACATCTGCTGAAGAGTAGCATGTCTGTTTCAAGTCCCAGCGTTTTTGATGAAGCAGACAGAAACTCCACAGTCATCTGTAGCTGAGCCCAAGTTCAAGGTGAAAGGTCAACCTTCATTAAGGTGCAGCGAGCGAGCTTTCTGCAGAGTGAGCGCAGGAGAACAAAAATGCCTATTTCATCAAAGGACATAAGGAGCCACTTCTCTGAGAGTGAGTAATATAAACAGGAAGACACAATATTCAAATGGGTTATGGGAAAACAGTGGACACATTTGTTGATGCTGGTAGACACACACAGGTTTAGAGTGCTGCAACACAGATCAGATGAATGAAAGACTGCACATCACTTGTAAGCATTACTGTTGCCACAACAACCTGAGTCAGTACATGAACAAAAAACAGAAAATATTGAGTGTTAGTGAAAATAAAAATCTGGACTAATTCTAAAATAGCGGTCCAATATTTTGATGTTGCTGTGATAACAAAATGCAGATTTTAATATAAAATACGAAATAGCATGATTATAATGTGTGTGTATAGTTTGTTGAAAATATTTGTTTTATCTAAAAGCTGGACTATGGGTCTGGCACATCGTACACACTACGCAAACAAATTACACGGATGAACGGACACTTAAGAATAGCTTTAAAAATCAAAGAATGATTGGGGGGGGGCTCACATGTAGTGACAATGCTTGAAAAATATTCATTTAATTGTGTTTGCTCTCATATATTTTCAGTAGGTGCAGAAGTCAAGGAGATACACTGTGTGTAGATCTACACGTCCTTCTTCACCATAAAAATTCTATATTTCTCTTTTATGGACGCAAAGTCCAACCCATGGCTGAAACTGAGTCAGAGGGCCAATTAGTTTAGTAGAACAAAGTATAAAAAAAACTCTTGCAAGACAATAATAAAAACCTCTTGAATCATTTTTGAGTCCGTTTACAGGCCGGTTGAAACGTCATTTTGGATTCGATTTTCAATTACATGAGCATACAAGTCACTGAAACTCTGTGAAGTGACTCAACTCAACCATTTTCACTATAACTGATATTTTTTTGTTGCATTTGTCAATGTCAATAAAGGTGCTAAGGTCAGACTCATTGAATTCACATGCAAATAGATGCAATGCATATTCAAATGTCAAATGAGATAAAAAAAAAAGTCCTTATGTAAGTCATTCTTGCAGATTTGTAATATTAATGTTAATTTTGAAATGTAATACTGAGACCAAGGTCATTCAAGGTTTTTTGAAGGTGATATTAATAATTTGAAATAAGAAAAAACATAATAATTTGGCTCTTTCAGGAAAATAAATGAAGAAGAAATATAATGAAGAAGAATAGTGAAGAAAATTTAAATGTATGTTTTTGTTAACACTGAAAGTTTTCATCGTATCATCCTCACTGCATCAAGTCTCAGTTAACGTCGTATAACCCCCGTCAGTGGAAATCTTTGTCAAATAAGATGCTACATTTAGTCCTGCATGTCAGCTGTGCTTACTGTTGTTGACGGACTACAGACCCTATAATGCCTGGCACTCTGCTCGGGCCCTGCTGGCTCTAACACAATGGAATCTTTTAAGCAGGCTTTCTCAGCCCTCCTGTTATCTGGGCTATCAAGTGTAGTTGCATTCCTATCTCCGTTTCAGCAGCCCTGAAACTCCATCTTGGCTGGGAGGTGTGTTCACCGTAAGATGAAATACACAGAGGAAGTTTTTTTTTTTTTTTTTTTTTTTTTTTTAGGGCCAAGAGGAAACATTGTTATGATTGCTGGAGTTTGGTGGAGTAGATATTCTTATTAGGGGCAGTGTAACAGTTCAGCTTCTACACTGTAAACAGCAGGTGTCCTGTCAGACCTAAGAAGAAATCAGTGGTAATGAAATGCAAAGTAAAAGGAGTTGATAATTAACTGGATACAGGTAAGGTGAAGGTCAAACTCTCACTGGCTCAAGAATCCCAAGCCAACTGAATCTAGGCAAAGCCAACAAAGCAGGTAATTTGGCATCTCTGCACTTCACCCACTGACTGTACATCGCAGTGAGACGAGGGGTCCAACATTCATGAGACGTCACAGCTGATCAGCAGAGATGGAGTCGCATTATTATTAGTCACAGTGCAGAAAATAATCTCCTCAGAGTAAGGTCAGTTTGTACTGTGACTTGAGTGGGTATCATCACACATCCAAAGGGAACAGTCTGTCACCAGGCGCTCTGTAGCACTCAGCAATTAGACTGCACTCAACAGTATAGTGTGACTCACCTGTGGTTTCTTCATATTGCATTGTTTGACAGAAACCTTATGGTTTTTGAATGTGTGGGGTTTTTTTTTTATTTTGCTGGCAAGATGCAAATATTACAAACATTATTTGAAATATCACGTTTCACACTCTGCACCTCTTTCCTGCAGAAAAATGTGTAAAATCTTAAAGGGCTATCTAAATTGTCTTTTTGTGTGTATATGAAATAATAAAAAAACTTTGAGGAAGTACACTTTTGCTCTGAAGGCCCAACCTTGTATCTTATAATCACACATTTTATTCATTCTCCTCACATTCAGTAACAGATGGAGGTATTCACTGTGTCCTTTCTTTGCCCCACCCTTGTTTTACTGGTTTCGGCTTAACCAGTTTAGCCTCTCTGTTTACTCTATATAACTTCCACCTGTAGTACCTGTGCGATCACTCTGCCACTGTGCTGACACAAGTCACCGACTGTCTACGTAGAATCTTGTCTGTATTAGAGGGAACAGCTCCAAACTGTCCTCATGTCATCCGACCAGGATAACTGCCACCTGTGTAAGGAATACCTCAGGGACCCTGTGTCTATCCCGTGTGGCCACGGCTTCTGCTCCATTTGCCTGAAAACATACTGGGACCATGCTGACCACACGGGTACGTACCTCTGCCCGCAGTGCAGGGTCACCTACAACAAGAGGCCCACACCAAGACGCATGGGAGGCTCCCGGCAATCCACCATCCAACGCAACTCCGAATCTTTCCCACCTCCACCCCCGTCCCCTGACTACAACTATGCAGGACCCCAGGATGTAGGCTGTGACATCTGCATTGGCAAGAAGCACAAAGCTGTCAAGACCTGCCTGATGTGTTTGGCTTCCTACTGCGAGAGGCACCTCAAGCCTCACTACGAGTCAGCCACTTTTAAAAGGCACAAGCTGGTGGATGAAATCGGCCACCTGGACAGGCAGATCTGCCCCCAGCATCAGAAGGGTCTGGAGCTGTTCTGTCGCACCGACCAGATGTGCATCTGTGTGCTGTGTACGGTGAAAGAGCACAAAGGTCACGACATGGTGTCTGCTGAGCAGGAGAGGGCTGAGGAGCAGGTCGGTAACATTTTCCTTAAAGTGACAAAACTGGTTTTTCACACTTCATTAGCTTAGCAACAGGAGAACTAAGAATGCTAAAATTTGCTTTGCTCAACTTGACTAGTATGGTTTAATGGACACGAACATTTCTGTGTGAAATCATTCACA